CATCGACATCGCGTCCGTAGAGATGCCAGTACCAGGCAGTGGAGCCGACGGCGAAGATGGTGGCACCGGCGGGGAGGGCGTTGTTCTTCCACGCGGAGGCAGCTCCCTCGGCAGAGGCGAATGTCGAGGCAAAGCGCTGTGATCACCCAATCCGTCAGCCAGACATTCAATTGCAACAGAAGAAGGCCCAGGCCCGAGTATGATGCCGGAGATGGCGTCGATGAAGCTCGCGGGAGCCGTTTGCGGGAACTGGGCCGTGTGGGAGGCGTACCGAAGCTGGTCTGCTGGTGGCATTGCGGGTCGCGGCGCCGGCGGTGCGTGCCGTACGCAGTGCTGAGCGAGCCAACATGGTTGTGTGAAGCCGGCTCGGAGCGAGAGGGGAAGTGGATCAATGGGGGTTGTCGGCGTTGGTGATAGTGGTGAAGGAGGGCTGTTTGGTCGCAACTTCTTCGCTCGAGGCTTGGCGAGACCTAATCAAGTCGGCGGGCGCTGTGATTGGCCCGCGCCCGCGGCTTTCGGCGATGTATGATCTGTGTATTGCGAGTGCGAGCAACGCTTGGGCGCCCTCGCAACAGTCAATGGCCAGGCGGGCGTCTCTTCCCATTGTGTCTCTGAGGCCAGTCGAGAGCACATCGTTGTCCGTGGCGCTGATGGTCTCCTGGCTCAAAAGCAGCATACGTCACATGACTTTGTATCCAACACCCAGCACGCCCAGGTTTGGCCAGCACAAGTACTACGCGAGCGAGGGAGAGCATGACATCAATCCATCAGTCAAACATGCATGAGGGCTGCCACCCAAGGAAGAAGCAAACCAACTGCACGCAATGCATCATCAATGCAGCGGTTGCGTCGGACAATGGGGCATGCTGCCGATTCAATCATCTGATCTGCCCCAAGACAGTTTTCATGTAGCGCTACTTCTATACCCTTCCACTCACGGCGTGGTTGTAGAAGGGCTCAAACGAGGGCTAGTGTTTTCTCTAGCAAGGACTGGCAATGTTGCCAGAACACACAGCGTCTCTGCAGAGAGGGAGATGGCTGGGAGGACTTCCTTGCGGTGTTTGAGAAGAGAAAAAAAAGAAAGGCTCTGCCAGGACGGCGGCGGGAGAGTATTTGTACTAGGCCACACACGCACACTGGCACAAACACTGGGGCAGCCGAGCGGCGTGTGCAGTCGCAAGCCCTCTCTGCCCTGCCAAACCTCGCCCGGCCAATTGCAACGAGCGCGCTCTCACCGCAGCACGCCCTCATCGACTGTAGCGGTTGGGCCTGATGCGGCGCTTCAAGCAGAATGGCGCTTCTGCCCTGCAATGCGGGCGTGTGGTGCTGTCGCGGCAGGCCATCACCGCCTCGCGCAGCCGGCTGAGTGCTCACCGGAGTCCACAGCTGCACACGCTCTCGAGCCCCACGACAAGCTCTCGATACTACCCCGCTACCCGCGCCCAGCTACAGCTACCACGGCTACAACACGCGCCCTCTCGCCCTTCGCCCCCTCCCCCCTCCCGTCTTTCTCTTGCTCCCCCCGTCCGTTATTGCTCGCACCGAAGAAACATGTGCAGACACTTCGGAGTCGACGACCACTCCGCCATGGACGTCTCCAAGGGCCGAGAGGTGCTGCCCACCAATGTCAAGCCTGTGCACTACGACTTGACCTTGGAGCCAGACTTTGACAAGTTCACCTACACTGGTACCGTGGCAATTGAGTATGGCCCACTTCTCCCTGCAACCCATGCGCCCGCTTGCTGACACGCCACCAGCCTGGACGTCGTCGACGACACCACATCCGTAACCCTCAATACCAACGAACTCAAGATCCACTCCACCAAGATCACAGCCGGCCAGCAGGTCATCTCAGAGGCTCCCACCGTCAGCACCGATGAAGAGGCACAAACGACAAAGGTCAGCTTCGACCAGACCATCCCCCGCGGCGGCAAGGCGCAGCTCACCATGACCTTCTCGGGCATCCTCAATGACAACATGGCTGGCTTCTACCGTTCCTCGTTCAAGGCCGAGGACGGCTCCACCACATACATGGCCACAACCCAGATGGAGCCCACCGATGCTAGGCGTGCATTCCCCTGCTTCGACGAGCCAGCCCTCAAGGCCAAGTTCACAGTGACGCTTGTCGCCGACGAGAAAATGACATGCTTGAGCAACATGGATGTAGCTTCGGAGAAACAAGTTGACAGTGCGATTTCAGGCGGAAAGCGCAAGGCTGTTACATTCAACCCCACGCCACTCATGTCGACATATCTTCTGTGCTTCATTGTCGGAGAACTCAACTACATTGAGACCAACAATTTCCGCGTCCCGGTGCGAGTATATGCACCAAAAGACAGAGACATTGAGCATGGCCGCTTCTCCCTGGAGCTGGCAGCAAAGACGCTCGATTTCTACGAAAAGACCTTTGACAGTCCTTTTCCCCTGCCCAAGATGGACATGGTAGCCATTCCAGACTTCAGTGCTGGCGCCATGGAGAACTGGGGTCTTATCACTTACCGTGTGGTTGATGTGCTCATCGACGAAAAGGTCAGTGGCGCCGCCACCAAGCAGCGCGTAGCCGAGACTGTGCAACACGAACTCGCGCATCAGTGGTTCGGCAATCTTGTCACCATGGACTTCTGGGATGGCCTGTGGCTCAACGAGGGATTTGCGACATGGATGTCGTGGTATTCCTGCAACGTCTTCTACCCTGATTGGAAGGTCTGGGAAGGTTACGTTACTGACAATCTTGCAAGCGCACTCTCCCTCGACTCCCTGCGCAGCAGCCACCCCATTGAGATTCCAGTGAAGCGTGCAGACGAGATCAATCAGATTTTCGATGCCATTTCGTATTCCAAGGGCTCCAGCGTCATTCGCATGATTTCCAAGTGGGTTGGTGAGGAGACCTTCATGGAAGGCATTCGCCAGTACCTCAAGAAGCATGCTTACGGCAACACCGAGACGGGTGATCTCTGGGCTGCATTGGGCAAGGCCAGCGGTAAGGATGTTGGTAAGGTCATGGACATCTGGACCAAGAAGGTCGGTTACCCTGTGGTCGCCGTCACCGAGGGCACCGACTCGATCCATCTCAAACAGAACCGTTTCCTGCGCACTGCCGATGTCAAGCCTGAAGAAGACCAGACTCTGTACCCTGTCTTCCTTGGACTTCGGACTAAGGATGGTGTTGATGAGGACCTGACCCTCTTCGATCGCGAGGCCGACTTTAAGCTCAAGGATATGGATTTCTTCAAGCTAAATGCAGACCACTCTGGATTGTACCGAACTTCATACACACCAGAACGACTACGCAAGCTTGGTATTGCCGCGAAAGAAGGACTTCTTACCGTTGAAGACAGGGCCGGTATGATTGCTGATGCTGGTTCACTGGCTGCATCTGGGTACCAAAAGACATCTGGAATCCTCTCTTTGCTCGATAGCTTCAAGGATGAGTCGGAATTTGTTGTTTGGGGAGAGATTTTGTCGCGCATTGGAGTGCTTCGAGGCGCATGGATGTTTGAAGACCAAAAGACCAGGGATGCCCTGAAGAAGTTCCAACTCGACCTGAGCGCCGAAAAGGCACACGAGCTGGGATGGGAGTTCAATGAAAATGACGGACATATTCAGCAGCAGTTCAAGGGCCTCATGTTCGGTGCTGCCGGTATGGCAGGTGACGAGAAGATCACCAAAGCCTGTTTCGACATGTTTGCCAAGTTTAAGGCGGGCGACAAGTCTGCCATCCATCCCAACATTCGTGGAAGCGTATACGCCATTGTACTGAACAATGGTGGCGAAGAAGAGGTAAGTCACTTCCACATTGATTACTCCGCGTCTCCCTGCTGACCAACAAACCAGTACAATGTCATTGTGAACGAGGCTCGAAATGCAGCGACAAGCGACGAACGCAACTCTGCTCTTCGGTCGCTGGGGCGGGCCAAGTCACCAGAGCTCATGAAGCGCACGCTTGATATGGCGCTCAGTGACGATGTCAAGGGCCAAGACATCTACCTCCCCATTGGAGCACTAAGAACGCACCCAGCAGGATGCCATGCGCTCTGGAACTGGGTCAAGGAAAATTGGGCAGAACTCGAGCGCAGGCTTCCTCCAAGTCTGAGCATGCTCAGCTCCGTCGTGTCTATCACGACGTCTTGCTTCACGCACCGTGAGCACGTTGAAGACATTGAAGCCTTTTTCAAGAACAAGAGCACAAAGGGCTTCGACATGGCACTTTCTCAGAGCCTGGACAGTATTAATGCAAAGGCTGCATGGGTTGTGCGGGATTCGGAGGATGTGAATTCTTGGCTGAAAGAACACAAGTACCTGCAGTAATTGACACATTTACGTGTCGGGCTAGATACAAGCAAGGGCCTTGTGACGCCCGCGCAGCTAGACAGTCAGAGCCCAAATAAAATAGACAAAGTAACTGTAAAACAGTAGAAGGCAGAAGTTGCAACTCAAATGGCAGTACTCTTGTTGCAAGCCTGGTGGTCTTGCATTTTTGAGTACAGTGATATCTGGTGATGGCTGCCAAAGGCTAAAAATCCGATTGTACAAGAATTTGGCGTTGCGTCATGGGCTGCGGGATGGGATTCTGCAGGGGGGAATGGCAATGTAAGGAAGTAGACAAGCGCTTGATGGGCTTGCACACGTCCCCCAAGGCGGGAGTCGGAAGACGCGTAGTGGACCTGCAACGTCAGCCTTGCCAGGCCTCCCGAACATGTGATAATTGTGTGTTCAGGCATTGGCGGCCCATGATTGTTGACACTTCTACCATTGCTGGTTTTTTGCGTCACTTGGCAGCGCTTCCAACTGCTCGCCCTGTCTGTTTATTGCTCTCCAGAACATCCGGCTACTATCGATTGCATTCAGCCACGGCTCGACATCAGACTGGCTTGCTGCCACCGCTCACCCCCAGATAGCCATTGCCCATGCATTGACGGCAATCGCCTCGCACTTCCGAGTCGCACACTCGACCACCAGTGGCATACGCAAGAGTTGGACAAGAACCGGCGTTCTGCGCCATGTCGCAAGACACGGAACAAGTAGCCCCCGCACTTGCGCCTACAGACGTAGAGGATGTCCAACTATTCCGGCGGTCACCACACCCTTACCTACGCCACGGGGACGAGATACGCGGCCAGTATCCCGAAAGAGCGCATAGCGTGGGCCTGGAACCCCCAAGTCATGCCGACGCAAGATTGGGCAAGAATGGTGCGAAGCGCAGAGAACCGGTATCGCAATCACCCAGCGAAAGCGGCACCGAGGCAGACGACGAAGGCTACAACCTAGTAAAAGCACTGCCTGCGCCTCCTCTGCGCCTTCACAAGGGACTTCGGGATGCGCGGCCAAGAGAAGGCGGGCAATGGGCTAGTAGTCCCTTGCTTACACCTACGCAAATCGACGATGAGGGGAGCAAGTTTTCCGACGAGTTTGTCAATGGCGGCAGCAATCGGGGGAAGCGAAAAGGGCTTGCGTATCACCTCGACGAAGAGGCAAGGGCAGCCAAGCAAAAGTATCTTCAAAGGCGGCGGAATGAGATGGTAAGGAGAGCAACGGAGACGGCTTTGCTCGCGGGTATTGGCCTTCTTGCCGTCCATGGATGCGAGTGCTGGAGCGAGCTGCTGTCGTGGCACAGAGGTCAGCCGTCATTTACCCCCTCCCCCCTAAAAAAAGATCATTGGAACAATGGCTAATACCAGCTTCAGCAGAATTGCTCACACATACTACCATGATTGTGACATTACTTGGTCTATATCCATTACGACTACTTTATTACTCTTGGGGGAAACACTCGAATCTTGCACTTCACCGGCGGATCCATGTGCCAGCCGCTTTCGACCCGGCCACGATACTCTACCCGCCAATACTGCCTGTACTAATCGCCATTTCGCTTTTTGCTTCGTCGCCGAAGCCTTTGCTTCCAAACATTCTGCTTGGACTGGCAGCATTGCCAGCCAGGATTATTCCTTTCAATCCTTCGGCTTTGGGGTATTCATCACTTCACTGGTTAATATCCATTATGCCGCTCATCGCGGCTGAGAACACCGATGTACCGTCTAGACTGACGGCACAGAAGCCGTACAAGCTCAAACTACCCCCTCCGCACCAAGGGTTGGATCCAGAGATGCTTGTCTGTCTATTTCCCCTACATCAGGCACTGCTGCCGCCTTTGTACTATCTCACTACAACGAGCCTGTTGCCAACGGAGCTGCACCTGCTGTCGATTGGGCTCATCAACTTAGTTTTATTTTCCAACTCGCCTCAGGCGATAATACTTTGCATTCTGCTGTGGATGGGGGGACTGGGCGTGTTTGTATGCTGCGGCAAGGTGCTCAAGTGGGGGGTTGCGCTCGCACGCATCCCCCGCTGGAGGTTCCGGCGCGCAGGCCAGGTGATTCGGGCTCGTCAAAGCTTTTTGGAAATATTGAACAAGAGCTTGGGGTCCGGACGTAATGGACGTGGCTCTGCAACGAAGAATGGCGACAGTGATGCAGATGATGATGATGATGATGATGACGCCGCTACGTTTGGAAATGGAACCAAAGGCCTCAAGGTTGACATAGCTCAACGCAGCACTACACGTATCTTGTCTACGGGCCGAGCTGAGCCGCAGTCGGCAGCCGAAGCTTCAAAGAAATCTTTTGACAAAATTAATGGAAAGAGGGAGGAAGCGTATGGCGTGGGCCGCACGCGTAGCAACACTTTGCCTATTCTCACGGCTGAAAGTCACACATCACGGCATCGATTCTCACATGGCAAACGATGCCAATCCATTGCACAGTCGTACCTGGAGCTTACGCCTGCACAAGCAGCAATGCGGAAGTGGCTGTATGCAGCCTACTTTTACCTGGTGGTTGTGGTTTTGATACTGGGCCCAATCCGGTATGCTGTCAGCAAATACGCACTGTATGGCCATGAGCCATTTGGATGGGCGATTAGCTACCTATTTGGCAATTTGCCGAGCGTGCGATGGAAAGTATTTGAGTGGAATCTGGACTGGTGGATAGCACTGCCGCTGAGAGACATGTCGGATGAGATGGCTGCAGGGACACAGGACATGGCACTTGGCGAACGGGTTGGGCTTGTGCTGCTAGGCGAAGCCAACACACGGCTGTTGCTGTGCATATACTGCATGGGCACCATTGTGGCGGGCCTTGTCGCAGTGTTTTCACTGTCTGCTGTTGTTGAGGTGGACACGCGCCGCAAGGTGTTTCACGGAACCATGGTGGCCATGCTGCTGCCGACCATCTACGTCGACCCATGCTTTGTTGCGCTAGCCCTGGCGCTTGTCCTGGCCATTTTCATTCTGCTGGATCTGATTCGCGCCTCGCAGCTTCCGCCGCTGTCGAAGCCGATTGCTAGATTCCTCACGCCGTATGTAGACGGGCGGGATCTCCGCGGACCCGTGGTGGTTTCGCACATTTTCCTTCTCATCGGGTGCGCGATTCCGCTGTGGCTGTCTCTGGCGGGGGTAGAGCGAAGTGGGGGAGAGCCGTGGCGAGAGTGGGGGGTCAAGAGTCGAGACATTAGCATGGTGTCGGGAGTGGTTTGTGTAGGCATGGGAGACGCAGCAGCATCGCTCATCGGGCGGCGCTATGGACGTCGCAGGTGGCCGTGGGCAGGTGGCAAGTCACTCGAGGGCTCGCTGGCTTTTGCGGTTGCGGTGACGGTTGGGCTTGTGTTTGGCAAGGCATGGCTGTACTTTGGATGGGGGAGCAGTGGTCAGATGGCGCCAAAGACGGCGGGGAGGTGGGTGACGGAGGCCGCGATGACGGTGGGAAAAGCCGGTATTTGCGCAGCAGGAGCGAGCCTGAACGAGGCGGTGCTCACAGGCGGCAACGACAACGTGATTGTGCCCGTGGTGCTGTGGGTTCTGGTGCGAGGGGTCAGGCTGTGAGGAGGCCGTGGCAGCGGGCGTCAGGTGGCATGCAGGTACCGAGGGTGCTCAGGCAGGCAGGAGGCTCAACTAGAGACGGGGCTATATATGGAATGAATGCAAGAGTCTGCCGACCCGGCCAGGCGTGTGAGCACACGAGGGTGGGCATGGGTGTGTGTGAGTGTGTGAGTGTGTGAGTGTGTGAGTGTGTGAGTGTGTGAGTGTGTGAGTGTGTGAGTGTGTGTGTGGACAGTGCTACGTCATCGCCGTCGCAGTTGGAGGCTGGCCTTGCTAGCGCGCCCATGCTCGGTCGCGAACTGGGCGGGACTGCAACACTAGCTGCAAGTCACAGCGGCGGCCGTCGACGGGTGCCGAGGCAGGGATGAGACGGGTAGTGTACTTAGAGCAGACAGGCGATAAGCCGTGGTGGGAATGTGTGCTAGCGAGGTGCTTGGGCTGGGCACGACAGATGGCAGATATGGCAGGCTGGCTTGCTCATGCCCCAGGCGAATGGCGTGCGCTGTGGTCATGCCGCCGGCCACATGATGGGCGCCCCTCTTGTCGCCTGCTGCCAGCCAGCCAAGGCAGAGCCCATGGCCCGGCGCCGCCTCGACGAGCGCGCTCTCGGGCGGGCCACACGGGCAGACGAGCATCTGGAGAGTCGATGTGTACATTGCCGTGTGCCAGACATGGGCGATAGTGTGCTCGTGTCGTCGGTGCAGCCATAGAGGCGCCCCGTCTCGCACGCGTCGTTATCAGTCCTATCAAGGCGGCGCTAGCGGCGCGCTAAGCCCTGCCCCATGACTGCGAGTCGAGCCTGGGGGTCCCTCCACTCGACCGTCTACCTAAACCTCCCAAGCCACTCGACTGCTCACTGCCCTCGACTCCTCCTCCTCCTCCTCCTCCTCTTCTTCTTCTTCTTCCCTACTGTCACTCTCGCTGTCGCTGTCGCTGTCGCTTCCCCCACCCCCGTCGCCGTGCATTGCCCATAACCCTCGGACCTCGCGCCAACGTCTCGCCGCCACCCTGCGTCTCGCCTCGCGTCCCCGTCACCACTATCGATAGCACCGCATACAGCCAACAACACCTCCGCGTCCCGACAACACAACCACCGCCCCGCTACCCCCCCTCAACAGCTCATGTACAACTCGCTCACCCCTACCCTGTACCTGCATCTGCGCTGGTAGCCACTTACCCACCACCACCACCACTACCCCACGCCCAACAGCCCGTCTCACTGCAACAACCTCCACTACCACCACACCAACCACCACCACCACAACCATACCACCCACAGTACATACACACTCACCATCGACGCCGAGCCAGGCAGCATAACCCGTGCTGCCATCATGGCTTCACCAAGCTCCCATGCCCCCCGTCGCTCGGGGGCATCCCCATCCTCATCTGCTGCCCCAGGCTCAGAGCAGATCATTGGCAAGTTCAAGCGCCTGCACCACATTGGCAAGGGCAGCTTCGCCGAAGTCTACTGTGGAATTCACATTGTACGTTACTGCTGCTTCTACTACTCCCACCCTCTCCGTACCCAAACATAGCCCATCCGTCGCTAACCAGACGGCCGTCTACAGGAAAAGCGCCAATCGGTCGCCATCAAGTCAGTCAACATGAACAAGCTCAACAAGAAGCTCAAGGACAACCTCGTCTCCGAAATCACCATCCTCCGCAGCCTCCACCACCCCCACATAGTATCGCTCATTGACTGTCAAGAAGCGCCCTCGCGCATGCACATCATCATGGAGTTCTGCGAGCTTGGAGACCTGTCAGCCTTCATCAAGAAGCGCACCGATCTGGTCAACCACCCCCAGACGCAGCGCATGATAGAAAAGTACCCCAACCCCGCTGTCGGCGGTCTGAACGAGGTGGTTGTCCGACACTTTGCCAAGCAGATGGCGAGTGCCCTGGAGTTCTTAAGGTCCAAGAATTACATTCATCGTGATCTAAAACCACAGAACCTGCTTTTGAATCCCTCCTCCATGTTCTACTCGCAAAGCGGAACCCTCGAACGAATGCCTCTCGCCGCAAGCGCAAACTCATTGATACCCGCTACCGGAATCGCCTCTCTGCCAATGCTCAAGATTGCTGATTTCGGCTTTGCTAGGATTCTGCCGACAACCTCGCTGGCGGAAACACTCTGTGGCTCTCCGCTCTACATGGCTCCCGAGATTCTGCGATACGAAAAATACGATGCAAAAGCTGATCTGTGGTCTGTAGGTACCGTTCTGTTTGAGATGATGTGCGCTCGTCCTCCGTTCAGGGCCAACAACCACGTCGAGCTGCTGCGCAAGATTGAGGAACGCAAGGACCAGGTTCGGTTCCCAGAAGGCCTTGTTTGCACCCGGGCTATGAAGAACCTGATTCGCGCCCTACTGAAGCGGAAGCCAACCGAACGCATGTCTTATGAATCCTTCTTTGCAGACACTGTTATTCGCGATGAGATTCCTGGAATGGTGGACGAGGATTTGCCCGGATCCATGCAGGCTTCTGAACGCCTCCAAACCTCTGCATTGGAGCCGCTTATTGAGCAACCTAGACCAGCTCAGAAAGCGCCTGCCGAAATGGATCGCCCGCTTTCGGACAGCCCGTATGGTTCATCGCCCAGGAGCAACAGGCCTTCCTCGCGGCCAAGCTCTAGACCGGTTTCTGGAAACTACTCAAACACGCCGCTGATACCGGCTTCTGCCCGAAGGTCTAGCATTACGCCAGTCGATCCCAGTGAGGAGCGCGCATCTTATCGCGACCATCGACGCCCACATCTTGGCAATGCTGCAACGGCACCCGCACGCACCGCAACCCTGCAAGACCAGGCTGCACCTAGTAGACGTAGATACTCTCGCGATGAACCAGCACCGCCACCTGCCGGTTTGAAAGAGCATCTCGACCGTGAGCGTATTCCACAACGAGCTGAAGTACTACGAGAGGCGGCCGAGCGAGCTGCACAGGATAATGCTTTAGACGAGGGCTTCGTGTTTGTGGAGAAGCGTCGCGTAGAGATTGACGCTCTCGCAGACGAAATTGCCAACAGCCCACAAACACAGCAAGATCGACCAATGTATAGGGATACCCCGATCAAACGACGGTCGACAACACAAGGCTCTCCCACATCGACTACTGGTGCCGTCCCTTCAAAAGCTATCCAGATCCAGCAAAAGCCCACAATCACACATCAACGCACTGGCTCATACAGTCGGCGACAATACCGGCCTAGCTTTGAAACAGCAACTTCTGCGCTATCCAAGGCCATGAACATGGTCAACATCCGAGGACTTGGCCTTTCACCACCTATCATGAAAGGCGTATCACCGCCGCCCCAAGGATACTCGGCGTTCCCAGCATACCCCACCGCGCAAAGCAGTATACTGCTTGTTGGTGACGGGGGCAAGATGGTCAGCAAAGACGAGGACTCGCTCACTGTTCGAAGAATCGAGGATCTGGCACAACTCAGCCACGTCGTCTATGGTTTTGCCGAAGTCAAGTACAGTCAACTAGTCCCTGTTGCACCAAGTGACCCGGCTTTGGGTGATGGGTCCACGGGGGTTGCTCGCAAACCAAGCAACGATGTCATTGAATACGACGAAGACGATGAAGATCTGACGCCTGACACTATCCTCCTCATTTCCGAGGAAGCCTTGGTCTTGTTCGTGAAGACACTTGCTATGCTAAACAAGGCCATGGACCTCACCGGAAGCTACTGGAGTCGGACTCGTCGCCATAGCGGGCTTGACGGAACTAGTCGTACAAACGCCAGGCTCGGTCAGGTCGTCTCCTGGATGCGAGATCGCTTCAACGAGTGCTGTGTCAAATCAGAAATTGTTGCTCGCAAGCTTAAGCAAGCACAGCAGCAACTGCCACCTGACCACCCCAGCCATCCTCAGAACCAGTCTGCAGCGTCAGGCTCGGCGACTGCCGTGGGCTCTGCTGAGAACATTCTGCTTACTACTGGAGTTACTGCCGAAAAGCTACTGTACGACCGTTCTCTTGAGATGAGCCGTCAAGCAGCCATCGACGAGCTCACAGGTCACAACCTGGCCGATTGCGACATCAACTATTGGACTGCCATCACTATGCTTCAAGCCGTCCTCGAGGAAGAAGAGGACGTACCAGGTCACAAATCCGACGCGGAGGAAATCAATGGTCTTGATGGTGAAGACCGAAGGTCAATACAAAAGCGTACGTGTCTTTGCCCAATTATGATGATTAGTAACAGCCCAACTGACATTTACTTAGTACTCGAACAAATGAAGAGCCGCCAAAAGGCGCTCAAGAAGAAGCTCGATGCTCTCAAAACCCAAAAGCGTTCTTCGATCACCGGTGCTCCTTCACCTCACCCCGTCGGCCGCAACTCGCCTTCACCAGCGGCGGCAAAGTGAGTGTGCAACTCAGAGGTTGCACAAACACAAGCACATACACACATACACACATACACATCACGTCAGGTCCACCGTTCCATCTAGCATTTGCATCTGTTCGGCGCTTCCCAAACTCTACATCAGACGCTTCATTGCTCCCTTTTTCCGGCTCTACTTCTTTGCTGCTCTCACATTTTGAGCAAATCTTCACTCATACCTTTGCACAGATGAAAGTGCGTTGTTTTTTTTTTGGTTTGTTTTCCTTCCTGATGGGTTTTATTTTCTGCTTGAAGGCGCCATATGGGAGAGAGGGAGGTGCTTGAGGGAAGGGTGGGGGGCGTATGAACATGATACCAAATTTTTATGTTTCATTCTTGTTTTCCTTTTTTTTTCCCACATATCTCGGCAGCCAAATTGTGCTGAAAGCGTTTTTTTGCTTGCTTCATACTTCTTCCTTGCTTACTTTCATCTTCCTCTTTCTTGTTCAAACTGGTTGACAAATGTATTTGTGGGTCATATTTCTTTGCAGGCGTTTTTTTTTCGGGCATGCGAGGGAATCTTTTTTTTTTCGACAGACAGAGAGACACACACAAAGGCAAACTTGGCATCATGGTATGGAATTTGGATATCTAATAGACATCTTGAATTTGGGTCGTGAAGCGAAGTTTATGACCACCTTTTTTTTTAGGGTTCACTGGAACTTGATTGTTCCTTGTGCAACTCGCCTCCTCTCTACGGACACGGATCGCGTTTTGCAAAAGTATATATATATATATCAATAGTATGCCACGTGTCGATATGCTCTCGTTACAGAAAGAGAGAGAAAGTTAGCTCCAAGCTTTTGTGTCTTATCAATCTTCATTCTCTCGTCAAAAAAATTGTGTAATAGTAATAAGAACTGATTGACTTTTCCTTCTCTTTCCTCCAGTGTGCCTTGGTTTTGTTTTGTGACTCTTGAGCTCTTTCCGGCTTTGTCGTGTATACATCGACGTATATTAACTATCATTTTTTTTGGTCAAATGATTTGGAAAAGCTATCAGGAAACCGAAATATTGATAATCTTGATATCCTCCTCGGGCTTCTCCTTGTACACTTTGGTATTCTCAATCTTATGCACAACATCCATGCCTGCGATTGCGCGGCCGAAAATCGTATGCTTGTTATCGAGCCACGGCTAGCACAACAAAAAAAAAATCAATTAGCTTTCCATACTCATCGTAACTTTCAAACACATATTTGGGGGTTAAGGGATGGGAATGGAGATATATGTGTGTTTGGGAGAAGAAAAAAAACTTACCGTCTTCTCCGTAGTAATGAAGAATTGACTTCCATTTGAATTGGGACCCGCATTCGCCATGCTAACCGTGTACGGCTTGTCGTGCTTGAGGTTGGAAAACTCGTCTGCGAATTCCTTGCCCCAGATGCTTTCGCCGCCCGTGCCGTCGCCCAGGGGATCGCCCGTTTGGATCATGAATTTGCGGATGACACGGTGGAAAATGACATTGTTGTAGTAGCCGTTGCGAGCGTGAGTGACAAAGTTCTCCACGGCTTTGGGGGCCGCATCGGGGAAGAGGCGGATCGTGATGTCGCCATACGTTGTGTGCAAGGTAGCTGTTGTGCCGGTTGCAGCCAGAGCTTTTTCGTCGTTCTTCTTGTTCGCGTTTGCCGTGCGCGGCTTTTCGTTTTGCACGTCGCGGACGGACTTGGAGACGGTCGAGTCGTTGGTATACATGTAGAAGCGGACTTTGCCGGATCCCGTAGATACCAGCATGGCATCTCGGGCTTCGGCTTCTTGGAGCAGCGGGTTCTCACTTGCTGCCATTTCGACTGTAACGACTCCTTTCTTCTCCGGTTGGCCTTGGTAAAGACATAGCCATAGCGGGCGGATCGACTCTTCTTGACCGTAGAGCTTGACAAGCTTGTTGGTCACCGTGTTGATGACTTTTACGCCGTACATGCTGCCATAGAGAATGAAATTGCTTGTCTCGTCGAAAATGACATTCATCCGGCTTCGCAACCACGGCTGATCAAGTTCTCTCTCTATGCCTATTCTTCGCCCAAACTCCATGTCTTCCAGATGCTGGACCGCAGTTCCAGCCTGTTGCATGCTCGTCATGGTTTCAATGGATTCGTCATAAGTTCGGTGCAGCTTTCCCGACGCAAAGTCAAACACACGGACCTTGCGGTCAGGGAACGAAAACGTAGCAAATTGCTTGCCAGTGGGCGAAATGGTGAGCGAAGAAGGGACGCATTTGGACTTTTTGAACTCAAACAGACTTGTCGAGCTCTTCAAAGACCACACATTGTCTGGTTTCTCATAGTTTCCATTTGGTCTCCAATACTCCACCATGCCGCCTTGGTCCACGCTCACCACGCAGTCGTAGTCGTTGTTGTACGCCATGAGACTTACGGGCGCTCTATGCACACTTTTCAAGACATGCAGCGGCTCCGGATTCTCCCCCCTGCCATCGTATATACGGATCCAGCTGTTCTCTTCCGAGCTGACAGCTAGTTGGGGGAAGCTTGCGCCTCGGCCATGCAGCCAGCAAACAGCCAGAGGGGTATAATCCAAGGTCAACATAGCCAGCAGGTCGAATGTGACGACGTCAAAGATCTTGATAGTCTTGTCTGCGCCAGCAGTCGCAAAGCTGCGGCCGTCTGCGCTCACGTTGACAGACTTGATCTCACCGCTATGGGCGCGAAACTCTTTAACAAACTCGATGCCTCCAAAGACCTTTTTCCAAAATTTAACAACGCCGTCGATGGAGCTGGTGATGAGAAAGTCGGTGTGGGGAGTAAATGTGGTGAAGCACAGTTGTTCGCGGTGCATGAGTGATTTGGAGTAGCGGGTTGCGCCAGGCAGCGCAGCAACGTAGAGCTTTTCATACGGCAGTTTGCGTTTCTTCTTTTTCGGCGCAGAGGAAGGAAGGGCGGGCCCAAAATCGTCGTCGTCGGAAGATGTATCATCTACAGAATATGGTGTTAGAGAGAGTTGCGCGCATACAACACGGGCTGATGGTACCTTCGTGAGCCTGCGCTGCAGATTCCTTTGTAGATATGCTGCTTTCGGCCTCCATTTCGGCGCGAGAGCGCTTTGGCTTAGTCGGCGACTGCGATCCGTCCATATCTATTGCGTTGTAGAAAAATGCCGTTGGCGTGTTTACCCAGTATCTTCCCACACACTCGACGGCCGGGGCTGCATTTCGCTAAAGCGCGCTGTCACGTGCGTTACTATGGTCGGTCTTAAATTCTAAGCTAGTGAACATACGTCACTCAGGAACACCACGTGATAATGCATACAGAGTCGAGCAGAGCTTGGGCAGTTGGTTTATTAATTTTGCCATGTCATCGTCCCGTACTATCGTACATGATGCCCATCGCTCTACCCTCATCACGGCCGTAATGTGACTAGCATCCCAATCTACAACTTCTGGTAATCTAGCTTGCCCTCGAGCTTCTTCGACTCAGCCATCTTCCGGACTGCCTTGTTGAAATCGTCCTGGTTGATTGAGTCTCGGTAGTCTTTGATGGCGAAGAGACCGCTGGGAAATGTTAGCACCTGTCATCTCCTTTTCTGTAGTCCAAGCACGAGTACTTACGCTTCTGTTACGACGTTGCGCAAATCGGCACCGTTGAATCCATCGCTCATCTTGACAATGCTCTCAAAGTCAATCTCACCATCTGTGACAACACTTCCAGAGTGAATCTTCAGAATCTCCAGACGTCCAACTTCGTTCGGCAGGGGAATCTCGAGCTTGCGGTCAAGACGTCCAGCACGCAGTAAGGCGGGGTCGAGGGTATCTGGTCGATTGGTTGCCATGATGATCTTGGTCTGACCAAGGTAATCGAAACCATCCAGCTGGTTCAGTAGCTCCATGAGGGTTCGCTGAATCTCACGATCTGCCGATGTACCTTCGGAGAAACGTCGACCACCAATGGCGTCAATCTCGTCCATAAAGATGATACAGGGTTCGTGCTCCTTTGCGTAGCCAAACATTTCACGGATCAAACGCGCCGACTCGCCAATGTACTTGTCGACAATGGCCGACGAAACAACCTTGAGGAAGTTGGTCTCCAGACTGCTCGCCACGGCACGGGCCAGCAGCGTCTTTCCGGTACCTGGGGGTCCGTAGAGCAGCACACCCTTTGGTGGCTTGATACCTACTCGCAGGAATAGCTCGGGGTTCTTGAGTGGCAGCTCAATGACCTCACGAAGCTCGCGAATCTGCTCATTCAGACCACCAATTCCACCAAAACTGACCTGGCCGGGGTCTTCCAACGACATGTTGTAGACGAGGGGATCGACTTCGCGGGGCAGCATGCGCATTATGGTAAGGGTTGTCATGTCTAGGGCAACACGTGTGCCCTGTTTGAGCTTGGCCTTATCGACCTTTGACCGGCATCCGACTACATAGCGGGGGCCGGATGATGCCTTGACAATGACTGCAGGCGCCGGGTTAGCATTTGAGAGTGGCGGAGTCTCTGATACAACGTACATCGTTCCTCGTCCAACTGCTTGAGCACCTCGCCTATTATCTGACCAACACTCTGCAGCGCCTTGATGTTCTCCTCCGATACGTCAAAGTCATGCTGTAGACCTTTTATCTCTAGTCGCAACGCCTTGAGCTTGGCCTCCCACTCTCTTGACTCGAGGAGCTTGGACTTGTAGGCTTCGAGCGCATGCTCGCGTTCTTGGTCGCCACTGCCACTCATGGTGGGCTGTGTATGTCTGTATGTGGGTGGTGGATAAGTGAAGGGCGGTGCTGCGTAGATGGACAGCGGCCGGGTTTGCTGCACCGGGTGCCTCTTCCTGAAGGTAACGGCCGGACGGAGGGAATAGTTCGATCCGGGAAATAAGAATCAAGGAGGGGCAGGAAAGCAAAGGTGATTTGTAACAAACGACGATGATGGCGGTGATGGAGTCGATGATGTGCCCCAACGCGGCGGCGGAACGAGCGCGCTCAAGGTGCACGTGCGCCAAGACCTCCGCGGCGGTGGCAGCTCCCATCCCAGTCGGCGTTGGAAAAAAAGTTGGCCGACCATTTTTCAGGTCGCATCAGGAATCCACCAAGGGCCTCTGTCGCCCACAACCACCACCTCGCCATCATGTCCTCCTCCTTCTTCACCACCCCTGCCTCGCAGCGGAAACGGAAGCGATCTGAAGCTACATCCAGCGCTCCCAAGAGGCGCAACACCGACGCCAATGCCCGCCGCGCCCAGCGAGAAGACTCTATCAGCGGCAGCGACGCCTCCGACGACGAGGACGGACCCGTCTTTGACAATGACAGCAACAGTGACGAGACTTCCGAAGACGAGAATGAAACGGCCGCCGAAAAGCGCCTCCGGCTGGCAGAGCGCTATCTGGAAAACATCCGCAGCGAGGTCGAGCAAGAGGTGGGCTTCGATGCTGAGCAGATTGACAAGGACCTCATAGCAGAAAGACTGAAGGAGGATGTCGCAGAGGGCAAGGGAAAGATCTACCGCTCCATCGCCGACGAATTGGACTTTGAGCGCGCATCGCATGCCGCTGGCTACTCGGGGCTGCAAAAGGCGATAACAGGCTGTGCCGTCAAGCTGCCTTATGCGTGGACTGTCAGCAAGGACCTCGTCGTAGAAAAGTGGGAGATTGCCGACCCAAAGTCATACGCGCCAGATGCCTCCCGTCCGACCAACATCACGCCGCGTAGAACTCCCAAGCGACTACTTTGGCGCAAAGGCAACAAGAACAAGAAGGGTGACAGGGCCTACCTAGGCCACACTGGCGAGATTGTGTCCATTGCCATATCGGATTCTGGGAAATATCTTGCTACTGGCGATATGCATGCCCGACTAATTATTTGGGATGCCGATACGCTCACGCCCCGCCATTTGTTTACTCGCCATCGCGATGCTGTCCTCTCGCTTTCGTTTCGACGAGGTACCGACCAACTGTTTTCGGGTGGAGCAGATCGCGCCGTCATTGTGTGGAGTGCTCCGGAGTCTGCATACATCGAAACACTTGTGGGACACCAAGACGCCGTCATTGGGGTTGCTGGTGGACTGGAGGTCAACCAAGAGACGTGTGTTAGTGTCGGTGCCCGAGACCGCACTGCCCGTCTATGGAGAGTTGTCGAGGAGAACCAACTGGTATTCCACGGCGGTGGCACAGCAAGACAAAAGGGCATGGAAAAACTGCGCAAAGGCCGGTTTGGCAAGAATGTTGACGGAGAAGATGCAAAGGACGGAATGACTAACGGCACACATCCTGACGACGACGACACACCGATTGCTTACGCAGAAGGCTCCATTGACTGTGTTGGCCTCCTTGACGCCAGCTTATTCGTTACAGCTTCCGACAATGGCGCCCTCTCGTTGTGGTCAGTCACCAGGAAGAAGCCTCTTTTTACCTACCCACTTACACACGGCCGTGATCCACCACTTGCGCCAGAAGAAATGTCAGCTAACCACGACGCTGCTACTTCGGTCAAACCGGGACCGCGTTTACCGCGATACGTTACCGCACTCGCTACGGTACCGTTTGCCAACCTTGTTCTTACAGCGAGCTGGGATGGCTGGATACGTGCTTGGAAAATTACCGACGATAAGAGGAGTATTGAGCCGGTTGGAAAGGTGGGACGCGTGCCTCTCAATGAGGATGCAACAATGGATGGCAACACTGAAGATGGTCCAATTCTGATCCGAGGCATCGTCAACGGACTCTCAATACAGGAACGAGGCGACAGGGGTAAAGACGGATTATGTATTGTAGCAGCAGTAGGCAAGGAACCAAGACTAGCAAGATGGATGTCGGGTAAAGTCAAAAACGGCATTTACGTTTTCGAAGTGCCGCGGAAAAGCCTAACTAATGGCGCGGCTGATGAAGAAGACGAAGAAGATGGAGAGGAAGAAGAAGAAGAATCATAATCCCGGGGGCAAAAAAGCGTCTTTTTTGCATTTTCAGGGCGTTCCTCTTTTCTGTACAATTCGCATTTCCCTTGCCATAACTCTAGATACCAAATCTGACATTCTGCACTCCATGGAGGCCAGACTAAAACCCAGCTTTCGATCTTGCACTTATGAAGACCCATATACTATTTTCTCGACATTGTCTGTATCAAAGGCCCCATCTAGCATATTTGCTCGCAATTCCAGTTCTCCAAAGTAGTTCGGGCCCGCACTATGCTTGAACCCTAGTTTGTCAAACAGCGCCAGACTACGCTTGTTGTCTTTGTCGATTTTTACGCGTAGGTAGCGCAAGATTGCTGTTTTTTGCTTGTTTTGTTGTGTGTATTCTGCGAGGAGAGCGGGCAGGGAGGAAGAAATGTACCACATAAATGCCTGGAGTGCTTCGTGTGCGAGGCCTTTTCCTCGAGCTGCTGGTTGGGCGATCATGATTTCTAGTTCGCCGATTACAAAGTCTTCATTGTTTTTCTTCTCTTCATTCTGTGCGTTATCCTCGTCGTCGTCCTCATAAGGATACAAAAAGAGGTTCTAAGCGTTTTCACGTGTTACACAAGTTTGTTTTTGAGCATGGTGCGGTTCACTTACAACATCTCCAATCATGCACTCGGGTGCATCTTGCTTTCCAGGTACAATGTGCTTCTCCTGAACCCATGCGGAGCGGTCTGGTGCGGTGCAAATGATAAACGTTAATTTATCGGCGTCTTGTCGCCAAGACTCTTGCATTGAGTATTCCTCTGGCAACGTGAGGGGCTCGGATGCTGTGAGCTTTTGTAGGTCCTGGATACTTTTGTAAGACATTTGATTTTTTCAGAAAAATATGGTATTGGAATGGAGTATGAGGATAGGGATACGGTACTTCATCTTGCATCCATTGGTGGTAGGTCAGGACGTGGTGCGAGCAGTATGGCACCAGAAGAAGGCGCGGGGTAAGGATACCTAAGACGGGGTTAGCACTTGAGAAAAGATGTATATACAGGATCAGATTCCATACACTCATTTTGGTTCAGCTTCATTGTTGTGGTGTTGAGTGGTGAATTTTTGGAGTGATTGGAGATGGGGTTGAAATGGAAAAAATAGCTTTGATTGTCATGCGCTCCATCCAGGATTGCCACCGCGATTCTGTGTAGTATCAGCCGTATATCAATATCGCTTTAGAAGCCTTAGCACTCCCAGAAAACCCCAATAATTCCACACCTCAAATAACAAGGCGAATTTGATATGTGAAGTCGCTTTGGAGAACATGCATCGAACCTGATGGGGTTAGGCGAGAGACGGCAGGATGGTCCGGCTCGAACGGGTCAGCGGTCTAACTTGTAACCTCATCATAACACACCAAACACATGATTTCTTACACGCGCCTGCTTTTCAGCAAAACACTGAATCAACACTTAAAGAGAAGGAAAAACCAATAGGAAAAGAGGATTGTCAGATAGCACCATTCCTAGGATCATACCGTGACTTTCCAGAAGCCCGTTAAACCCATTCTACCTTGGATCCCCCCCAAACTAAACCCACCACATTTCAACAACCCCCAATTTATCTTTCGTATCTCCAATGGATCCCCCTCACGTCCTCATTACAGGCGGCAGCGGCTTCCTAGGCACAAGCATCATCTCAGCCCTACTCAATACTACAAAATACACAATAACTGCCCTCGACATCTCCCTCCCACCCCTCGGCACCCAAACCTTCAGCTCTAACCCACGCGTGCGCTACACGCGCTGCGACATCCTGGACGTCCCCTCTCTCTCCAAAGTATTCGCAGAAACCAAACCTACAGCCGTGATCCACACGGCCGCCATCTTCCACGTGGGTACACGGCGATACAGCATGAAAGACCGCGACGCCGTGTTTAAAGTAAACGTAGAGGGTACGCGGAACGTGCTAGAGGCGAGTAAAGAGCACGGTGTCAAGGCATTTGTGTACACGAGCAGTATCACCGTACTCTGCGATGATTTATCGCGGGATTTCAAGAATGCAGATGAGACGTGGCCGTTGGGCAAGGTAGATACTAGTTACGGGCAAAGTAAGGTATGTATCTTCAACATCCCTTCCCTTTATTCCCCTGAATTTACTTTCCAAAACTCTTTTATTCTTCCTCTTCTTCTTTCCTCACCCTCTCCTTTCCCACCCCCACCTCCGCTTCTTTTCTTCACCAAACCAACAAACCAAAAAAAACACACTCACCAACCCTCCTTTTTTTCCCCGCCTTCCAAAAAGGCCCTCGCAGAATCCCTCGTCCTAACCTCAAACTCCCCTTCCTTGGCCACCACCGCATTGCGTTCAGCCCCCATCTTCGGCCCTACAGACCGCATCTGCATCCCCACGATCCACGCATGCATCGACGCAGGCCAGACCCCATTCATCCTCGGTCCTGGCACGAACCTGCAGGACTACGTCTACGTCGACAACGTCGCGCACGCGCACGTGCTGGCCGTGCGGAATCTGCTGGTGACGACGGCGGCGGAGCGGACGGCGGCGGGGGAAGCAATGTTTATTTCGAATGATGAGCCGGTGACGGCGCGCGCGCTGTGTTTGGCGATTTGGCGCGAGTTTGGCCATGTGCCCAAGTTTGAGGTGCAGTTGCCCGTGGCGTTGGCGCGCTGCATGGGCATTGCGGCAGAGTGGACGGCGTGGGCGACGGGGCAAGAGCCCAATTTGAGTCGTGGCATGGTGAGTGAAGGGTGTAGAGATTGCTATGTTTCGGTTGAAAAGGCGAAGCGTTTGATTGGGTATGAGGTGCAGGTTGGGTTGGACGAGGGGATCAAGATTAGTTGTCGTGAGTATAGGGAGAGGCTTGAGGCAAGGAAGAGGCCGTCGGTGTGGAGTTGATGTCTTCGTTCTTTTGTTCAACGCAATGTGGTTGGGCATACTGACTACATTTATAGCAATCATTATATTATTCAACCACAGGCCGATCGATGTATATGCATTCAGATCTAAATATCAGATAGTTAGTCTTCTTCATTGTTCAACAGTTTGATATTCTACCCTCAACAGCTCGAGACTAACTCACTCTACACTTTCTCCCAAATCATAAATCCTTCAGTCTAAACCATGTTACTCATCAATGCACATGTACAACAGATATCACAAGTCTCATAACCACATGCTCGTTCAGCAAACTGACTTTCATCATTTTATCTAATGTACGTCCAGACCGCCTCGCACTACGCCCCCACACTATTTCTAGTTGATGACCTCTTCGCTCTCTTCAATAATCTCTTCCACAATCTCCTCAATCTCCTCCTGGTGGCCATCCTCTGCCTGTCCGGGTGTCTCTCCCTTGAGGAACGCCAGTTCCAGGTCTGCACCTTCTTCGCGTAGTCTCTGGGTGACTTGTTCCCTCCATGCACGCCACTCTTGCAGCATCTCGCGACGGGCCTCCACGACAGCCTTGTTGGCTGAGCTCTTCTTGGCAAGATCCTGTTCGTCAAAGATCTTGGAGTAGTTGCGCAGATTCTTGCGAATCTCAGCTTGCTCTTCCTTGGAGAGCAGTGTCGGGGGTCGTGGGCGCCAGAGAAGTTGCTTGAAGCCTTCGATGGCTTCTTCCCGGAGAAGTTGGCCCTTGAAGTCATACAGGTGGTAGCCGTTTTCCATCTAGTAGAGAATTAGCAAAGTAAAAAATAAAATAAAACAATAATCGAATCACTACACATACACGGTGGCGGAAAGCGCTAGCAACGGTAGCGACATAGCGACCTGTAGGATCCCACTCAATGTCTGTGACACCATAGTGCTCGGCGGTATCCATGAGCTGTAGGTTGGCGTTGACCTCCTTATCACCCTTCTCAGACTCGTCCTTGGGCTTGTCGAAGCTCATGTCCCAGAACTCAAGCTCGAAAGATTGCTGGGATTGAAGGGCAGCGACAACAACAAATCGTCCCTTAGGCGACCAGTAGATGGCGTTGCTATTCTTCTTGTCAATGGTTCGGATGTGGCGGAAGTTTCCAACGGCTCCTCCCTTTAGCTTTTCAGTGGCGAAGAAGGAAACAGCAGTCTTGGGGCCGACGGCAGCGCCTTGGATAACCTCGCCAGTGGTGATGAGAACGAAACGGTTGCCCTTGGGTTCCCAGGCAAAGTTGATGACAGTGTCCTTGATAGAATCGACAACCTCGACTGGTACGCCCTTTTCACGGACGCGGAAGATTTCCAAGTTAGTTGCAAGCGACTTCTTGGACTTGGAGTGGCGATCAACCTTGACGCAGACATATGCGGCTTCTGATTGCCAGTGTAGCTTGGCGTCAGAAACGTTGAAGAGGTTACGGGTCCGCACAACCTCCTTGGATGGGATTGACATGAGTCCGACCTTGGCGGGGTTGCTGCCGAGTTCAGGAGTCCAGTAGCAGAAAAGTTGTTCGTAGGTCTTGATTCCCTCTCTGCGTGGGGTAGCGGGAGCCCACTCAAAGTCCATGACACCCTCAATCTTGACTGATGTCTTGTCGAGGAGGTTCATGCGGGGAAGCTCGTAGATGGAGATGGACTGGCCCTGGGTCATGCGTGCAACATACTTGTCGTCGGCAGACCACTTGAAGGTAGGCCACTGCAGCTTCTTCTTGATGGGGTTGCCTTCACCATCGGTGCCACCAGGGACATCAATGGTAGCAAAAGAACGCAGGGGCTTGCCAGTGGCAATATCCCAAATGATGTAGTTTTTGCCATCCTCCTCGAGCGAGAGAGATGGGACGGGGTGGTTCTCGTCAACCTGGAGTGGGCGGTGCGACCAAGTGGTGAGGTACTTCTCACCAGGCGAGAAGTCGACAAGGTTGACACCAGGATGCGCGAATCGTTTTTGCCTGCTCCATGACTTGCCTCCCCACAGTTGCACACCCTGGGCGTGCATAGAGGTAAGGTAAGTTCCTTGTGGCGACCACTGAATAAACGACTCTGTCCAGTTCTCACGGTCAACAACCTGCTCGGGCTGATCTTCCTTCTCGTTCCAGTAAACACCGACCCTGTCCTGGCGGTACATGGCGATCTGGTCGCGGCTGTCCTCATCTGCGAGCCACCACCTCAGGTGCTCCTTTTGCTCGAACGGAGGAATCTCGGGTGGGTGGTATTCCTCGTCAACACGGCCCTCCTTGCCGTAACGGTCGATGTCGGTGAGTTTGTTCACAGCCATGGTGTGCTTCTTGTCGAGTGGAGTGCCGTGGAGCTGCTTGACGGCTGCAACAGCCTCGGCGGGCGCGCTGTATTCGACAAAGGCATATCTGTGTCGCCGTCAGTGCCTTGGTCACCGTCTGCGAATGTGCGTGGTGCGCATGTCGAAATCAACGTACCCCTCCGTCTTGCCCGACTCGTTTACGGGCATGTGCACACCATCATCCTTAACCTTGCCCACACTGTTCAGTTTGCGCAGCACGAACTTGATCAGCTTGCCCTTGCTGTCCTCGGGCACCACTGGTAGTCCATCAATTACGACAAAGGCATCAAGCCCCTCATCCAGTCGGACCTGGAACTGCTCTTCAATGTCGGTAAAGTCGATTTGGCTCTCGTCGAATTCATCGTCGCCGTCCATGGGCAGGTTCGAGTATGCCGACGCCATGATTGCTACCTGTGCGTGCGTGTCGATGGCGGTAATAATGTGCCTGCGGGGGGTGAGACTTTGGCGACTTGACGGTAATTTTGGTGCGCGCTAGTGGGGGTGGTCGCACGGGCCTCTTTACATACGTCGACCTGATAGTCATTAGGATAGTACAAGTTCAGACAACCTAGTCAGCGCCATGCTACGCAACGCAATCAAAAAAAAACGAAAACAATTGCATAAAAATCGATTTCTGCATATCCAAAGGCAGAGGCAACACGTCCAATCCAATACCACTAAATGGCCTTTGTCGTTTCTCTGCGTCTATCCGCACTCGCACCTTACTAGCCAGTCGACGCCCATCGCACAAAACCGCACGCCACCCAAGGAAGGTATACACTAGAAGATCACAAATACATGAGCATCGGCTATCCTTGTAAGCCGCGCTTACCTTCAGCTGCATCCAGGTTTGGACTCTTGACCAACCTTCCACCTGCAGATACCCGCTTCTGCATTCGCGCCTCTCGTTCTCGTGCTCTCTCTGATGGTGAGCTACCATTCCCGGCCTGGATTGGTGGTAGAGGTGGAATCTTTTCTGCACTGGAAGACGCCTGATTGTTTGCCATGGGTGCAGGAAGCTTGCCTGCACGCTGGTCCGCCTTGAAGTCAAGGTATGCTCGTGCCGAGTGACCCAGCGGGATAGGAGCGG